CCGAGTCTCCATATTGTGATTTGTCGAGGACTACAGCTTTGGAGGCCAGCATTCTCGATAAGCTGTTATTAAATGCATTACTAAGCTAATTAAAATGTTACTCTTGAATAACTAAAAGCTGATAAACCATTAGCTACTGAGCTTTCTGTATTAAAGCTTACTTTTGAAATAATTAAAAACTGATATGAAAGTTAGGAAGGGCTATTTTTTGGAAAAGTAAAATGATAGAGATTTGAAAGCGCGTTCGAATGGCGGTTTCAAACTTCGTACAAAAAGCCTTTTGTTGATTATTTTCACTGTTTATTACATTCATTTTTCGTTTAAAAATGTCCAATTGCTATAAATGACGATTAACACGTTTTGGAAATCAAAAATTTCTTTTAGTTACATGCCCCCGGACTCCCTTGTTGGGATCTCACAATCGCGTTTTCTGTGTTTGCGGCTAACAACAACTTTCATATGGGTGGTGACAGGTTTTAAAGGGTGTAAGTTTCACCAACAAAGCGGGCAAAGTCCTTCCCAAAACTTCCCATACTATTAAAGGTCTTCATACATGTATCTTGAAAATATTAATTACGTCAAATGTTGCGCAATAAGAAGGTGGGATGTTTTGCCCACCAAAATAAAAACCTGCCGTGGCCACAGGTATACCAGGGCCTCTAAATCTTTTGAAACATAGACTAGAAATTTTGGCTCTCGGCCCTCGCCTTTTAGGTACACTCGTTTCCATGGTTTAATCAAAGCGTGGTAATGCGTCCAAACCATAGCGTGGTACGTTGACTTTGTTCTGCTAAAAAGATAGAAAACATAATAGAGAAATTGAATTCACTAGGCTAAAATAGAGATGCCAAGTTCTTTAGAGAACGTGTTTGAGTTGCTGTCAGAGAGAGAAAACGATGAGGTACAGACACCAGTTTATAAAGCTGGCAATGAGGCTAGGGGGAGAATTTTTAACCTCAATCGTACCGTACGCAAAAATACTTTTTGTGTGTCCTGTAAGAACAAGAAATACTATGCCTGCCCAGTGGCGTAGCAAACTCTTTAATTGGGAGGGGGCACATATTCATATATTCATGTTCTGCCGCGTTGAGTGTCTTTGAAATCCATTGTTTTCAACGGATTAAGACATACATATATGAATTTGTGCCCCAATGAACGATTCTGGTACGCAAAGGTCTTGCCTGAGATTAAAAGATGCTTTAAAGAAATTGGGATTTGTTTGAAAACGTCTGCTTTAAGGACTTCTTACGTGTGAAACAATGACATTGGCGCAACATGCACTTATTTGTTATCAATGCACTAATGCATAGATGTAAATGAAAAGTATTTTGCCGGAAAGAGTTGGCAAGTTTTTCATGGTGTATTTAGAGTTTATTTTTCATTTCACTTGATCAAGTAATCAATCTTACAAAATAAACATAGAAATAGAATGGAAGATAAATTATACAACGGGAATTGTATATTTTGACTCATATAGGTAATTTACCTAATGACTTTTTTCAGGGCATTTTTAACTATATACGTAACTACCACAGCATTTACTCCAGTAGGCCACAGCAGTGACCATGGATTATCGGCTGATAGCAGCCGCAGTAAAGTTCCTGCAACATCTTAAGCAATGAGGAACAGCAATTGCAAATACAGCATACTTCTTCCGAAATACAAGCATCTTTTATCCAATCTGTTCAACCTGACAAAAGTTCCCCAAAGCCCAACATACCATATTTATGTGTCCTCGACTCTTCGTTACAAAGCGCTATACAGCTTTTCGTAGGACGTTGTCAACTTACTTGTCACATACTTACTTACTGGACATACTTAATCTTTACTTGGTGTTACTGTATTTTCTTGAAAAGTTACATATCTATTTTATGTCAATTAACAGTCAATTGTTATATTAATAGCGTTTTTTAATGTAATCCTATTTCATACCTTTTCTTGCTGTGCCAAACAGGAGTAAATTGTTTAACTGATGAATATCTTTATGGTATGGCTATGGTGCAATTGCACACTTCCAAGAAAAGCTTCATTACAGGTTATCTTTTATCTGTGTAAACGAATTAAATTTATTTAGTTTTTGTTTTTGATGGCACTACTTTGGGTTTATTTGTGCTATTCAACACACCCTGTTGACTTATTGACTTATTTTGCTTTTTGTGAGCTTTCATAAAACGTTTGTAATTTCTTTTATGATTAGCGTTTACGAAATGGTGATGAAAAAAAGGCAGAACGTAGAAAAATGAAAGATATTTGAATTTATCCATCAGTATGCAAGTAGCGATCACTCTTGTGTATTGTTTTGTGCAACACATTTCTCGGGTAAAGTTGCTAAAACTGCACAATGCAGCATATAGTTATACATTTATCTTTCTTCAAACAATTTAGCTTCAATTTTATTTGTACTTCAAAAAGTTGTACAAGTCATGTCTCTCCTTCGCCCTTCAAAGAGAACATAACAAATATTTTACCTTGCTAATTTATGTCATGCAGTGATCTTTTGAAATTTTTACATTGTTAGAAGAAAATTTATGTATGTAGTGATGCAAGACGACCCATCCTTGTTATATTGATACGTCACACGGAAGAAAATACCTCGAAGAAGACAGCGTTGAAATGTACCTAGTGATCAAAGAGTTCTACTTTTATACACTTATTTGTATTATATTTTTCACATGGAAAAGGCTGGTACACTTTAAACTACGATGCTATTTTTGTGAATTCTTCAGTATGTTTAATAACAATGACAGGTATGCTTTAAATACAAGGTTTCATATATGAATTCTTTCAGAATATTAGAAAATGTTAAGAAAATTCTGTTGCTTTTGACATTTACTTTAACACGCCGAAATGTTACGCGTTTAAAGGTATTGATTTTACACATCACAAAAAAATCGAAACAATCATTCAGGCAATAGCTAAATATACAGACTATTCCATTTGTTCGTAGGTAGTTTTCCGCCACGTTTTTACCCTCAAGCAAAGTTATATCATAATCTTAAGATATACCATGGCCTTAAAGAAGAACTATATCATAAGTTTTCATTCATCAAGCAACGTTGTTTCCCTTATATATTTTTCCTCATACAATAAATAGTATTAAAGTGTGGCCGGAAGTGAACACGCAAGCAAATTTTCCTCTCATTATTTGACGAAAAATAACTTTTGGAAAAGTGAGACTTGGTGTTGTTTAAATAGGTTTTTACGCTCACCATTGTAGCTACCTAAAAATGTTTATGCAAAGTTTCTTAAATATTTACATGAATAGAAACAGTTATTGTCTTTGATGATCTGATTATCAACCAGGTGCAGATTTAGTGTAAGTCAGTTGACTCACGCAAATTACATATATTTGGTAGTTATTCTGTGTTCTACAATTAGTTGTCATTCCGGAAAGTTTGCATGTCGATTATTTTTACATGACAAAAATGTAAACATGTCCTCGAACCAAATACATAATTGGATGGCCACCTTTAACTAAAATGCCTGAACGCGCATTTACTTGCTTTTAGACACGCATGTCTATAACCCTTGCATTTCATAGCATTACTGCCGTTATGAACTTTTTCGTGGCCGTGGTTGGAAAAATTTGGACAAGTTGAACTGCTGGTGTAAAATTTTGACTGGAAGTAGCATTCCAGTTATATTCAGTTCTGTGGAATCTTGGTTTTGCCTTGGTGTAAAAAGTTCTTTATATTTCAAAGAAATTGCCCTATAAAAATAAATAAATTGGCTGAAATGAATAATTGAATTACAACAAATCATCGGCTCAAAATCTTGAGTCTCGGGGTTGCCATGACCTGCTCTCGAGTTCTCCCAAAGGTCAATCTCCTCGGTTTGCATACAAACACAGTAAACATCTTTCATTTCTTAAATGAAACACAACTTCCAACATTCACTGGAGGGATAGTACTTCCAGCAAAACTCGTGCAGTTAGTTGAGTTAACTTTGCGTTTATCATTGTTGCGGTCATTACATTCATAAAAAATTTTGTCAGACTGTTGCTAATAGGTTGACGAATCGACCATACCAATCACAGCCTCACTCATAAGTAGTTGGTTCAAAAGACGAATTAACCTTCTTCGAGATAAGTAAGATAATTATTTTCCATCAATAAACAAGACAGAGTGACTAATCTGTGACAGCTAGTCCGAGTGACAGCTAAAACTTGAATACAGACCATCAACCAACGAGGCGTTAAAACACTTATTAATCTACTATCCAATAGAGAGAAATGTGAAAGGCTGTATAGAGTCAGGAACCAACAGTCAAATAAGACAAGTGATGTCTGCTCAATTGTCATTCAACATTGTAAGCTTTTAATTTAAAATTTTTAATACAAAAAGATGACCATGATTATTTTAGAACAGATAAGATGAATGGAAAGACTGAACGCAAACAATGGTACGATCGACCACTGCCAAAACCACAATCTGAACCGTTTTGGGAAATTTGCGATGCAAAGATGTACTTCAAGGAAACAATATCCAATCCCACTGTTTTGTCGAAGCTTGCAATCATGCCAAATGAGGAAAACGTTGATATGTTTCGTGACACAAGGAGCCAACAAAAGATAAAGCAATCACAAGGTCTAAGGTTTCTCAACTCAGATCTTCGTATAAACAGTGAGTAAAGAGCTAATTGTCTTTGTAACCTTATGCAATAACTAAATTGTTCTGTACTTTTCTAGTTATGCCTAAGTTCAATTTTTTAACGGCATTGCATAATTTTTTTTCTTGTCAGTCAAATGTCACTTTTTGCAAATAACGATTATCGTAATCTTGATTTTATGTTATTTTTTTGCAGATCATATAGTTCTCATTACCAACGAGAGCAAATTTTTTAAAGAAATATTTCTAACCAATGATTACAAAATTAAAGAAAGTGTGCATGAAAAATTGGAAAGGTAAATCTTTATTAACTGTTATAATTCAGTTTTAAGTCATTTGACTTAACAGTATGTTGCTGTTTTTTCCAAGTGCCTTCATTTTTTACATTTACAGTTTTTCATGGCTTTGTGGTGATTATGGTGTAGCTCGTCCGACCAATCAAATGCCATACCTTCATTTGTTTCTTGAAGTCGACCAAGCAAAAAAAGATAATAAACTTTTGAAACAAGAAATTGATGAAATATTTGAATGGAATGCTTCAAAATATATGGAGTTACGTTTTATCAACCCATCTGACGAAATTATAATTCATCCGCTTTCGAAGATGTTTCAATCAAGGCGTGATAATGCGTCCAAACCATCCTGTGGAACGTTGACTTTGCTCTGCTGCAAAGATGGAAAACATTACGCGTTGACTTGTCTACATACTGGATATAAAAATTCTCCCGAAAGCGAAAATAAATTCTTGTACATTCAAGAGGAAATTAATAATAATAAAAGTGGTTTTGAGAAATTTATGCACGAAAACAAATATTCGTACATTCATAACGATGGCACACAAATAGCTCTTGGCGAATTTTCGCATTACTCATTTGATCAAGAAACCGATATAATGGCCATCTTAGTTGATAATAAAGAAATTGAATTCACTGCAGCTAAAATAGAGATGCCAAGTTCTCTAGAGAACGTGTTTGAGTTGCTGTCAAAGAGAGAAAACGTTGAGGTACAGACACCTGTTTATAAAGCTGGCGACGAGGTCGGCGGGAGCATTGTTGACCTCAATCGTACCGTACGTTACAAGGGAAAAATAGTGTTCCGTGACGTGGTGGCTGTAGAAAGTGATCAAGAATTTATTCAGCAAAGTGACTCGGGCTCTCTGGTTTATTTTAATGATAAGAACAACAAGAAGATACCTTTTGCATATGCTGTTGCTGTTGCGTCCCGAAAGAACAAGAAGTACTATGCTTGCCTGAGACTAAAAGATGCTTTGGATAAATTAGGACTTCTCCAAAATGCCTATTTCAAGGACTTCTGCGTGTGAAACATTGACATTGTTGCATACATGCACTTATTTAACATTTCACATTTTTGCTCTTAGTACTTGTACATTCATCTAATGTTTTTGCATGGCCAATTTAGCGTAAAGCAAAATAAAGTGTAGAAGCAAGATTTTATTCTATAGTCGATATCATTGTTATAAAGATGATTCGCAATGATCCTCTACTACATAAGATTCCGAAATTCAAATACAAATTTAAAAGCACCTACCAACAAGATGCTGAGACACCCGACAAAGTCGAATTTTTACTTAGCTATCTAAAAATCAATCTTTACAGATAGCATTGAGTACAAAAAATTAAAGAAGTTTGTGTAGTTGGATTTTTGTACAACTACATATACAGTTTATACCAGACATAAACTGTTTATACATAATAAAAAAGTGTACTCTTGGAAAAAATTTCCTAAAATAAGACGGAAACGCGTATTGTGCATTGCACAACCGGCATTTTTAAAAATGCATGAATTTTTACCAGTGAGCGAACTGTTGTCCATTGAACAAAGCCTTTTGCTCAAAACTTTGTCATATGGACTGTGTGCGACAAGCTTTTGGCTCACGGGCAGACAAGACAAACGAGATCTATGAGTTTAACTGTTCACCATTTCAAATTAACTTTGTGCATTGTCATATTTTAGTAGAAGTTAGAGAATAAAATTCGCACGTCAACTCCCATTACAAGAGTTATAACAGGCTAACATCACTTATATTCATGTCATACAAATATATTTTCTATTATATTGACGCTTAATTTGACTCAGTCCAGTTATGATATAAACTTAGAGTATTGCTTTTCTAGTAGAATAAAGCAAGCACTTGTTTTAGTTATGTTCATCGATAGTTGAAAAACATGACTATGCTTTCTTTTGTTATAAGTGTGATGTAACAAATGTGATATAACACTGGTTCTTATTGGAATTTGGAAGGACTCAAATCATGTAGTAATTTACTGACAAGACGCTACAACCATCTTGTAAAGGCAAGAACATATCGTTTCGAAAAGAAAGGACAAGAAAAGACAAGAAATGTTGAAATGCATTTAATTCTCCAGTTTGCCATTTGTTGATGCAACATATAATCTGTGTTCAGCAGTAGCAGATACATCGTTTGGAAAAATAAATTAGCTCATTCATTTCAACTTTTATAAATAAAGGTATTTTGAATTGAGAGTAGATTGAACATAAACGTACTAAACATAAACTTAGCTCATTGTGCTGAAATTCTTCTGTATTCCGAAAGTTCAAGATAGATTTAGATTTGTAATACATCTGATATCTGGAGTCAATAAGGATGCATATACAATAATTATCACCTAGTGCTTCACAAAAGCTAGATGGCTAAACGGAATAGTCATTAGACAATAACAATCTCATGAGCATTTAGCTGCCATGACTGACATTTAGATTAGACGTAAACCATTATAGATTCCTTGAGTCAATCAGTCGATAGCATTGCGCTTGTGGCTACTTTTGTCATTGACGAGAGACGGATAAAAAGGGCACAGTTATCATTATTTGTTCAAAAATGTGCTGCATGGTATCGTTCCATAAGATAAGCTTAAATTTTGTAACTTATTGGTGCTATACCAAATCCTACCATAACATTACTTGCTGAAATTGTTTGAAAAAATTGAAATGCTGCACTTTTTCCAGAAAATTCTTAATCACATATGTGAATAAGCCCTGCAATTATTAATTTGTTTCCATTGGTTCTTTGCTTTTCACTAGGTGATTGAAATCTCGAAATTTTTCATCGTTCTTTATAGACAAACAAAATCTCTTCCAAATCAGTTTTTTATCATCAACCATTCAGGGTGAGTAGATATTGGTTAATGGTGATATATTAAATTTCTCCTTGGGGCTATTTTGTTGGTTTTGTGCATAAATTAGCTTGCAATTATTGAATAAAATTCTTTATAATCATTTGAATGAGATAAAATGGGATAAGTTCCTGTAAGATATAGAAGGAAAGCTTAAACAAAATGAAAGTAGATGGGAGTAATCATGAAAATTGTGAAATATTAGCTGGAATATGTAATGTCAAAAAATAAGCACGAACGTCGTGACTTTTTTTTCTATTGCTCTAGAGGTTTACAAAGACAAAGACATTGGAAATTTCTTTAAATCCTTTTTTGTTCTTCTTTTGTTCTTCTCTTAGCTTATTCTTGAATTTTTTCTTTATGCTTGTTCTTATGTCGATGCTTATGTCACATGCCTCGTTGAATGTCTTTGTTTTCTCTTTTGTCTACATTTGTGCTTATCCTTATTTCACTCGTGTGTCTTGTCTTGTCTTGCGTCATCCAATGCCAGATGGCAAAGGCGAAACATGAATGTATTCCAAGTGCCAGCGTGGTGCTGTAATTAAACTTGTTCATGTTTTTTCTAATAGCTGAATACGTATAACGGTTCGCCAGGCCTGAGATACGCTTACGGTTCTCCACAAACTGGAGCAGTGCACCCTCCCGTTGTCATGTAGCATGATCATCCGCGAAGCTGCAATATTGCTCAGCCGAAACGTCAGTCTGTCGATGCTCGCCACAGGAACTACAACCACCCGTAAGAGTAGAGGGATTTCTTCTCGAGGTTAAACTCCTCTAGATCCGATGTGTTTAGCTCCATGCAGGACCACCTCGTGCAGGATGTGGCACTTCACCACGCACATCGGTCTTTACTATGGATAGGTTACTGCAGACTGCAGTCTTGAATGTTGGGTATATTACGCAAAACATAGTACTGGGTAAAGGAAGACCAGTCGAGAAGGCTATACCAAGTTGGAAAGGTACTACTTCTCTGCATAACCCCTCGGTCCCTACTAGTGTGAAGCAGGATTTAAGGACAAATAAAGATAAAAGAAAATACAATAAGGCGATAGAGTGACTGACACAAGCATCAGCATAAACATAAGCATAAGCACAGAAACTTAACATAAGCATAAATTAGAACACAAAAACATTGCAAAGAAAATCCTTTTTCTTTTATGTCCTCCAATCTCTGGAGAATATGTTTTGCTTTGTTTTATCGCTTGCGCTTATGTTGCTAGGGAAAACTAGGCTTAAGTGTTATTATATAGCAATAATTTCAGTCTACAATTATTTAGGCTGCGTTTACACTATACCGGATTCGCTCATCACGACATCTTCATTTGCTTTAAAGTGTTCATAAAATGTTCCATGCAGGCTCAATTTCAGAAAAATTGACTTATGAAATATCTTGGGAAGGACGTATTCTCTATTAAATTCTGTGAAAGTATTTTGATGATCCTAGAGACAGACAATGGTAATGAAGATATCGGTTACTATAGAAGATTTTACTATTGTCGTTCACTCCATCACTACAGCAATCTCTATTCAATAAAACCCATGTTGCAAATTGTAAAAAGGAAGTTCAATTTCGCTTTACAACAGCAGTACTTAACCTTCATGCCCTTATTTTGATTTCTGTCGATAATGTAAATGTTTTACAATATTTCTCGGTTAAAATTTTATCGTCTCGTGCGGATGACGTGATTCTATTTTCCCGATTATGTGTATTTAATGAAGACCATGTTGAGAAATGGATGTTCTTACAGTTTCGTGAAAACGAAAAAACAGGAAAGCATTGATGGCAATGTCGATGATAATTATGGGTGATATGTGAATTTGAGGATCAATACTCCATAACTTAGAAAAAGAGGTTACAGCCAAACACACTGGTGAGAAGGTGTACTAAGTCGGTCAACATGGTGATGATGTGTTTAATGCTCAATATCAACAACTGTTCTTACTGTGAGAATTTTTTTTCAACCAAGAAAGTCAAACTATTACAGGTCAGTTGTATTTACTTGTACATTAAAATTTAAACATTAAACAGGACGTTGTGTCATGCTTATTTTTAGGTGAAAATCTTCAACCATTCTTCGTAAACGTTTATTTTACTTAGTGAATGAGGCAAGGATTGTATCTTCTGTTATATAGGAATGGGATTTATTATTGTAAATCATCTATTTGCATCGTGTATGTATGGAATGACTTTCCTGCTTGTGTCCAAAGCTGATAATGACAGTCTAAGTTTTAAACTCATATCACTCTTGATTATTGGAAACTTTCATTAAAAATTTATCAAATGGGCAAATTTCGTGTTCCTATCAAGTTCTCTCTATCACATAAATGAAAGTACGATATTTCAAAGATAATACTTTCACACTTCGAAGACTGGAAAAAGGATATCTTTTCTATGTCAATATTTACTTGTTGAACTGAGTCTCGAGAATGACTGCACGGAATAATAAAAGGAGAATTTAAGATCTGTTTTCGTTTGCCACCGTTACTGGGTTATCTTTGATGGTCGTTTATTAGAGGAAATATTTCAAGATATTTTTTCCAAAGGTAAGCTGTCAACACAATTTTGTTTAGCATTTTGTAAGATATAATGAGTACTATAATCTATATTATACAGGAAGAAAATGGTTTTCGCATCCCAAATGTTGCGCAATCGCTCCCAACTAACTATAATTATCTTGAATTCGACGAGAAGGAAGAAAATGAATTTGTTAAAGAGGGCATATACAATAAAAAGTTTTACTAAAACTACAGGGGAAAACGCTGTGGACGAAATTGACAGTTATGCAAACAAGGGTGAAGTTGAATATAACGTAAAAACAGACAAAATTCTCGATTCAGGCTTAGAAGATCATGAGTCTGTTGAGGAGAGCAAAGTTGACAATAGAAACAGATTGGAAATCTCTTGTTAAATCCTTCAAAGTACTCGTGTGTCAGGGAATCAAACTTGTGAAGCTAAAGAGAGTCGTTTGGATGACGTAATCCTTGTTTCCCACGAGGGTCGTGGGACGAGTTGCTAATGAGTATTGTGTTGTTGAAGAATGGAAGTCTTCTTCAGAGTTTCATGAACACAGAAAAAAGGAAAGCGATCATATCAATGTGGATGATAACTATGGAGAATATGTAAAGTTAAAGTCTAATGCTCCACTACGTACAGAGAGGTTACAGCCAATCAAATTCTCTTCCAAGGAAACAACCACATACTCATCTAATTCCATTCAAACTCACTCTATCCATCCCACTAAATCTCATCGAAATCCATTCAACTCCACTTAACACACAAAAAATCACACAACACTGACATCACTATACCTTGTAATTTAACAATCTGTAAATATTGTATAATTAGAATACATGTTTTCTAAGTTCCTACATGTATGTATTCTAATCTGAAAATGTCTTATACTAAGGACTAAACGTTATTATCAACAACATTGTAATCCATAGCATATTATGTTTGAAGGCATGTAAAATTGCATGCCTGTATGACATTTAAATTGAATATCTTCAAAATTATTCAATCTTCCCCTCCCCCCTCAAGAAAACATAGACCTTTCTTAGGAAAAAATATGGTTTCCTGCTGTTATTTTGAAATTCCTACATTTTTAAAATAATAGAAGTGTATGACGACGTAAAAAAACAAGGCATTATTTTAATGATTCTTATTTGTCGGAAAAACGTTATAGAAGTTAAAGTTGTTGAAATACTTGTCGGAGATTGGTGAATTATCCATGTAAGTTTTTTATGCTTTGTTATTGGTGTATTCTTTACACCAATGAAGACTTGTTTTGTTCAAAAATACTAGTTCGAATTTGTAAATTCTTTTCAGTGTATATATAAGAGCAATGTAAACAAAATTTCATTGCGTAAAACATTAAATTCAATCGTCAAGAGTTTGTTTAATTTATATATTTCTAAAGCTTACAGATCATGTTTTTAAAAAGGAAAGATTTTCTACACATCACGGAAAAATATAACTGCCCTAGAAATTAGTGAGGCGATAACTATATAGACAGACTATAACAATTTTATAGAATTGGAGGGATTTTTTGCTCCGTTTTTTAATCACAAGTAAACTTGCATAAATACAGAATCTTAACAGGTTTATATTAAAGATTCTTAAGCTTTGTTAACGTATATATTTACTCTTGTCCGTGACAATTTTATGAACTACGTGACGGAAATAGAAACGCAAGCAAATTGTATAATGAAAAGTATAGTTCTCGAGAAAAGTTGTAATGGATTTATCTTAATCAATCTTTTGGATTATCATTTATATATAAATCATTTTTATTGGTACTTTAAATATTGTCATTTATAAACGTTTTCATGAATAGATTTTTTAAAAAAACAATTGCTTACTTGTCTTCGATTATCTGATCGTATACTGCAAAGTAATCTAGAAATATATAATAAATCTCACAATTGAAGCAAACATTCAAGGAAATTGATCAACGATGTCATATACTTTAATGCTTGAAAAGTTAAAGTAATCAAAGACACCGGTTTGTTAACGATGCACCATGCTGAGCAAACACAAAAGGGAAAAGAAGAATGATAAGAGTATTAAAATGAGTTATTTTCTCCCAGTCGGATTTATATGCAACATGAATACGACACAGATTGCAGCACATTTAGCTTTTTACAGCTTTTACACTCTCTAGAAGTAATTTGATTTAATCTTTTCCTCTTATATCTGTGTTCTAACTGTTTATTAAAAGTCATTATTTTCCTATTAAAGTAAAAACAAATGCTCTTACTGCTGTGATAGTGATGACATTAAAAATCATATTTATCGTTAAATGACCTTGACGTTATTACTAAAAATGTCGGCAAAGTTTGTGTTCTTGTTACAGAATTAAATGGAAATTTTGGTATGTAAAGTTGGAAAAAGAGTTATATGTTTGCAACGGGTTTTTTTTATTGTTTTTTAATTAATGCACTGTGAATCCGTCAACCTTCATTTGTAATCGTAATTAAAATATCTTATTGTTTGTATTTTTAATGTAGAAGAGAGTCAAGAGAAAGTAAGTCCACTTCCTAAAGGTTGGTATATTTATGGAGCATACTTAAAGTGCTTATATTACGAATTTTAGCCCCCTTTTTTTATGAGCTTACTTGAAAATTTGGATTATTTGAGGAACTATGACATGTCGCTGTACTTAAACTGATAAATATAAGTTCCTTAATTTTGCCTCCAAAGTCTGGTACTATTTGAGAATTTTTTAAGGACGCCATATTGATACTTGTGACGTAGATAGTTGAACACGTCTGTTTCCGTCAATATAATATTATATTATAGGAGGTGATTTTGTTGTCGTTTTTCTTGTCTTAAAAACAAATAATGACAGTATTTTCAATAAAATATTAAAAAACAAGTTTTCCGGAAAGTATGGCCTCAAATCAGTGCTCAGATAATTCGAATTCGATGTCTGAATGCGTATCTGATTCGAGCTCGGAATCCGTGGGTTATGTCGAGCATTTAAACGACTTCGCATATGACGATGAACCGCTCGCAGGAGATGGTGATGAAGTGCATACTCCAGATGATCCCGATGGAATTCTCCCTGCGACATTAGAACAACGAAGTGATGGCGTAATTTCACTCGGTGAATGGTAAGTTGTTGTTTTGTCCTGTTTGTAATATACATAAAGTTACTTTATAAACCACAATGCTCCCACGTTTCAGGTGTAATTGTCAATGTTGTCATACCAATTTGTTAGAAGGCGCATTAGAGTACAGATGCTGTAAGGAAATAGGACCATCTTTTCAGAAAATGGCATTCGATGGCAGCATTGGAGAAGCAATGCAAGAAGGTGCGTTGATGCACATGATAAGTGGGCACACTATTTGCTGAGAGATTAATGTGCTTGAACATCAGCATGGCCTGACTTATACTGATACCAGACATCAACATACCAAAACTAGTCATAACGTTTTCAAAAACCATAGGTTGGCTTCTCCACATAAAGTTTTTTTCAACACATTTACCACAATTTTGCTCTACAATGGCCATCGAACCAATGTATTTAATGTGTACTTTTGGATTTTCAGCCTTGCAGTTAAAGCAAAATTTTTCAAATAACTCAACCAATGAGATGTAAAATACCATTAACATAGCTTGTTCATGCGAGCTTGCTCTTTCATCAATTCTGTAACACGATTAAGACAATTCATTATTATGAAATTAAACAGAGATCTAATTCTTTATAAGATAAAATACCTGAGTGTATTACTTGTGGTATCTTCATCTGAATCTTCACTCTGACTAGACTCTTCGAAAGAGGAGTAGTCCATGTATGATTCTCCTTCGAAAAGCTCTTCAGCACTCCACTGCATTCCATCGTCTATATTAATGCTGATCACCACGGATGTATTACGATTTTCCCTGATTTCGCTTCGATATTCATTTTGCAACTTCTGGGCCTTTTTCTTCAAAGATGCTTTTGTCTTTTTATACCAGCTTAAAGTCTATTGTAAAGATGTAAGTTTTTTCTTAAGACGATGGCACGATTTACATGGAGACTGGGATTCACAAATATCTTCACCAACTGCATGTAGTTCTTCTTCAAATGGCGAATCGTTTGCTTCCCCAGTGTATACTTCAACATGCTCAGCTCCATCACTAGTAGATGGTACTTCCTCATCGAGAGAACATGTTTCCTTCAGCGATGGCTTATGGAGAGTATGTCGAATAATCTACAAAACTTATATCGAATTTACATATGACAAAAGAAAAATTAACATAAACAAGCGTAAACTTACTTGTCTTCGCTTTCGATCGGTTATTTCGTCCTGTAATGGTTCTGGAATCCCAGCCACGTCAATGGTTGAGATAGCATTTTTCTTCAACCTTCTTTTGAGCTTGACTTGCACGCTCAAATTAAGGTCAAAACAAGAATCTTCAAAATGCACAGAACACAGACACGAGGTAGAGGAAGCCTCAAAACCCGGTCTATGTTTACGCCCAAAATTTACCCATTTTCTATGTTTTTGCGGCTCTGTTTCTTTTTTAGGAAACAGATGCATCGACATTTCTTTGGTTTTTGAATCATTGGCGCCATTAATTTGATTAGGTCCGCCAGCAACACAACGTTTTCCTCCGCGTTTCTTATTAAGATTACTAGTAGAATACGCCATGTTGATATATGTGTTCAACTTTCTACATCACAAGTCATTAGCATACCGATCAAAAAGTTCGCAAAAAAAATGCTGAAAATCGTGACTTTGAACGTCCGTAAAATCACTTTCACCAATCCAATTTCAATTATAATTGCAGATTTAAAATCACTGAAACAAGGTCTTTTTGGCTAATAAAGAAGGGGGGCTACAATTCGTAATATAAACACTTTAAATAGATAAAGTTGTTTGGTGTTGCTATTTTATTCACCTTGTTGAATCTAGAATTAAAATATTCTTGGACTTGTGAGACATGCAGAAACTAAAATATCAATGTTTAGGTTATTTTAAGCTTGCTGTCCGAATATTTTATACATATGGTAAGCCCAAATGTGTTATCGAATAATGTACACCTTATGAAAAATCTACAAGAAAATGGGGTTGTTTAAATAAGTCCACTTTTAAAAGTGTTTATTTAAAAAATTTTTTTCACTTTTTATGGTTATATATGGTAACAAATGAATTGGTTACATACTAACCTATTTTGAGAAAATGAGACAACATTAAACCTACATTCAACCTCGTGAAGTATGGGTTTTTCTAATGTGGTGACGCTTCATATTATCATCGACTACTTGCCTAAAACTGTGAATATAACCTCCCACACACACACACATACACACACACACACACACCTCGTATGCTTTCTTACACTTAATTTGAACTACATTGACTCTTAATTCATGTGGTTCCCTAGACAAATCACGTTTTTTCAGGGAAGGGTTTTTGTGTCTGTGCAGAAAATGTGTTAGTCCGTTGGTTAATGATAACTATTTTCTCTCATAAAATTCGTTCATTTTAATTTTCTTTTTATTTTGACGTTTTTAAAAAGTGATAACCATGCAGACTGAAACAATTGGATGGTATTGGAGGACTTCTTTGCGCTTTTAATTACAAGTAAATCAGCCATATTTCTTAATCATAAAGCAGGGAGAAAGTAAACGTTTATAAGAATTTTTCAAGATTAATTATTTGTGACAAGTAAAAACATTTATATGCAAATAGTTAAAAATGATGATTGTTTAAAAAATGAAAGTGCTAAGTAAGACATTGACCCCCCTCCCTCTATTCCAGTTGTGTAAGACGATGGTTTTGAGCTTTAACACATATAATGTGCATCTTTCTCATCCTTGTCATAATCAATTTTTACATATTACAGACACTGTTATGACAAATTAATGAGGAATTACGTTGAAGAAAAGAAAAATTGAACGACTGTCTAGCATGATTTGGGTATAACACTACGATATGCCTAGTAAGCGGTCTCGCGGTAAGCTGACCCTGTTTTGCTGTAAAGATGAAAATTATTACGCGTTGACTTGTTGCCACGTTGGTTATGCACCTCATATGAGATTTAATGATGACCTTCTTGCGATTCAAGAAGAAATTAGTAAAAACAAAGAAAGCATTCAGCGTTTACTAAATGAAAATAAATATACTTTCTCGGATGATGACGACAGCCTGGTTGGTCATTTTTTTGACTTCTCTTATAATCCTGAAATTGATATCATGTCTATCTCTGTTGGCAATAAAGAGGATTTTCAGAAGCTTGCTGGTGATGAATTGGAAGATGTTGATTCAAATTTTGATGATGTATTTAGCGAAATTCACAAAAGGCTAAGCCAAGAGGAATCTGTGAAAGTTCGCACAGCCACTGGTACTGAGGGCTACTTGTGTGACCTTATGTATTCAGTTTTTGTAAAAAAACATGTGATTTTCCGTGATGTTATCATGATAAAAAGTGATGAGTCATTTCTTAAGGATGGTGACGCTGGTCTTCTTGTTTATTTTTTGGATGAAAAAAACAATTGGCAACCGTTTGCGTATGGAATTGCAGAATTAACTAAAAATCACGGAGAGACCAGAGAGACATATTATATCTGCTTGAGATTAAACATTGCCTTAAAAGCACTCGGCCTTCAGGGTGGTCAGTTTTTTAAACCGAGGAACAATGGTGACACTCTATCCGTTAGTGATAAACGCATTGACGACGTCACTGCATTGAACAAAACCAACCGTGACGACAATGGTTGCACTGACTCGTACAAAGGTAAAAAGTCGTGTCATTTTATTTTCCTTTAATTTTTCTTTAATATTTTATTGGTCGAAACGTTTTTAATATGACAACGGTAATGACAATTGATAATACAATATGACTAACGTCATACAAGTATAAAAAAATATACATATAGCAATCGACTTTTTGCCTATCAATTTTTCATGCTTTTGTGCCTTTGTGATGTCTTAGAGAAAGCTGACGAGAGAGAATATCAGGAACATGAAGAAGGTGAGCATAATTGAAATAATCATATTATTGTTTGAGTTGAATATTTTTAGTATAACATAAACTACACTTTTCATAAACTAAATACTCTGCCTTTTGGTTATTTGATGAAAACAACAATGCTCTCAATACTTTCTTTTTCTGTGTTGACAAAACACATTTCGATAATTACTTTCGATGGTCATAATTTGCTTTTTTTAAAAACTATAGCAACATAGTAATAAATTGCGTAAACGTACTTTTAGAAACTACGTCATAAGCTTTACCAAATATATAAACAAACAAAGATTTCTAAGTACCAAGTTTGAACAAATACAAAACAATTGTGCGTCAAAAGCTAACAAATATATAATAGACTAAAAATTGTGATGTTCATAAAAAGATGACGAGCACCTGGCAACTTCGGTGTCATTTGCGACTTCTCCAGGGGGTAGAGTGTGGTTACAAGTATCTATGGGTGTTTCGATGAAAAATGGAATAATAAAGTTATAAATTTGAGTCACAACTGTAATACTTTTCTTATAATTCACAGCCAATTAACGTTAACAGGATTAGAATAGTTAAATTTCAATTTTTTGCGATTTTCTTTGCAGTCTGGTTGCAATGGTTACTGTTATGTCAATTATGTTAATAGTATTTATTGTTCTTTTTACTACAGCGACATACACTTATTCAAGCCAACTTGAAATCGCTGAGAAAACGGACAACAAAATGCTCAGTCTGAAGCTTTTAGTCCAGATGCACACCAATGAATATCACAAATTTGGTAAGACACTATTTAAAATATAAAGCTAATTGTTTGCAATGAAAATGTTAGATATCGAATCCACATTCCTGTTGATTATCTAAAGTTATAAAAGTAGGTCACATTTTCGCAGTTTATATTTAAGCAATTTTAAATATTTGCTTATGATTATGTAGCAAATGTACTTTGAAACCACGATTTGTGCTTTCACTTAAAACTAACAGAGCCAGAGACGTACTGAAATTTTAGATTGATGAAAACTTTTACACCACATTAGTATTAAAATTATTGAAATTTCTATTGACTTTTTGACTATTTTTTATATTTTGCTAAATGCCATACAATTATTTTAAGTTGGGAAGTCGCAAAAATGGAATTGCGTTGACAAATCAGTGATGCATCGCAAAAAGTTTGAAATGATGCAAAAACATTGGCTTGAACATCCAAGTGATATTAGAATTAAAGGCGATGTACGTGTGATTTTCATGGACGAGTTCTTGATTGGCGAAGGAAGTGGTGGAACCTGTGTTTATCTTGGTTTGGGAAAGGATGGATATGGAAAAGCTGTAAAAAAAATCCCTAAAAAGAGCTGTCTCCATCTTGCTCTACGAGAAAAGAATGTTTTGCATGAGCCAAACTCAAAGAAGTCGAAGCATGTTGTAAAGTATTGGAACTATGTAGAAGAAGAAGGAGAAGATTTTGTCTATTTGATATTAGACTTGTGCGAACAAACTTTGAAAAGCTTTGTTAAGTCCACTAGTTTAAATAAACTTCAAGAAGCCCTTCCCGAAATCCTTAAACAAATTTTAAATGGGTTATCTGATCTTCATAGTGGCCCAAGTTCTATTCTTCATCGGGATTTAAAGCCTTCTAATGTTCTTCAAGACGTGGAAGGCAAATTTATGATAGCTGACTTTGGCATTAGTCGAATAATGAAAAGTGGCGATAGATCAACATATCAAAGCAGTCCTGGTACAGGAACTTATGGTTGGTCCGCTCCTGAATCCTTGAGTGAAGGTCGTTACAATAAACAGTCTGATATAATGGTAGATATGTTCGTTAAAAAATATATAACTACTGTTCAGTTCTGCAAATAACGAATAAACTCAATTTTTTAGCATTTCAGTATCTACAGTTGATGTTGTGACTATTTATGTGTTTTTTTTAATATTAGAGTGCAGGAATGGTGGCTTATTATGTTGCAACAAAAGAGGAACATGCTTTTGGAACTAAAGAGAATAGATTGAAGAACTTGTTAAATGGAAACCCTGTTGGCTTGAAGGAAATCAATGATGTTCAACTTGAAGATCTTCTTTCATGGATGCTACAGGATGAACCTAAACTCAGGCCATCAGCCAACGAGGCGTTAAAACATCCTTATCTACGATCCGATAAGGAAAAGTTTGACATGCTGTGTGATGTTGGAAACCAACCGGAGATAAAACAACCAATATGTCGAAATTCAGATGTTCGTAAGCAGTTGGACTGTCCCACAGAATGGATGAATTGTATCGATGATGAAGTTTTGAAAGATTTAAAAACATTTCAAGTAAAAAACAAAGAAAGAACTATAACCTACGAGTCTTCATGGGCAAGCTGTTTGAGATTTATACGTAACGTTGATCAGCACTGGCATGATAAACTTCGTCCAGGCCTATTGTCATATATCAAGGAAGGCAACTATAAAGAGTATTTGATGAAACGTTTTCCCGAACTTCCTATACTGGTGCACAAAATTATTAGATCGACTGACTGGAAAACAAGACCTAAATTGGAAGAACATTTTACCTGTAAGCTATTTAAATAATACCCCATGTTTACGACTTAGCCATGTTTGAGTTCCATGCATAATAACATACTTCTCTGTCACATTGAACTTTTTTTTCTACTCTTTAAGATGTATGTTTTAAGCATTGTATAAATGATTCAACCTTCTCAACGTTAAGTAAAATTATTTTCCCGTTGCAAACGTTTTTAGGAAACATAAATCCTGTGAAAATTGAAGGAAGTCAATGGAAAGAAAATTGAAGATATTATTGACAACCGTAATCTTGATGGAAAATGAAGTATAACAAACTCTTAACTAATCATGTGCCACTTTCAAATTGTTATTTTGAGCAACGACCAAGAAATTGGTTCATAAAGTCATATCAAGGATTACTTGCATGTATAGTCACTGAAGTATGGATTATTAATAGACTTAAATTCGATCATATATGTATGTAAAGGTAGGACGTGAATGCATGAAAAGCAATTAGGGAAATGTGCGTATTAATTATAGTCGTAGAGCATCTTGCAAATAAAGGTAATGTTTGTTATACATTTCGTCATAAAAGTCGAATATGTTAAGAACATGTACATCTTTTCTATTTCAAGCTGGAGAAGATTATTAAAGCGAGTCGTATAGGGTAACCGTAAGTATGTTTACAAAAGTTAAGGTGTTTTAAAGAAAATTCATATGCTCCACTGTTATTTGGTTATCTCAACATTACCGTGCACTAAACATGGTTACTGTGGGTCATCTGATGTCTTCCACGTATATTTAGGGATATACTTCTGGAAAAAGATTGGAGAAGTGTTTTAGGTCGCTCTGTTTGTGATTATTTCTTTGAAGTTCAAAGAAAGGTTAATGAATTTATGTGTAAATTGTTGGTGATTGACAATTATTTGTTGGTGCTGGTTTAGTTGAGAAGTTTCAAGTTGCCTAATGAACAGTTGCTATTATAGATTCTTCTCACAAAAGTGCATCTACGCAGATCAAGTCAACTATCGTCATTCATTTTAAGGTCACGATTACATTCCTCCAGTAATTGCAACAGGATTTGGTTATTTGTCATGATCTATGATTTTTTTCTGTTGGAGAAAATGAAGGTTTGTGTTTGTTTGAAATGATCGATTAATATTGCTTATTAATTTTTATTTTGAACCCATTGCCTCTAATTGAAAGAGATTGATTGACAGTCTTGATTGCAAGAATACAGCATATAATGCAAGGATATGTTATCATCTAACGTTTCCAGAAACTGTGTTATTTCCTTTGATTAAACTTAAATTTGTATTCATGCAGGCTTTATGAATGTCATCTCCAAATATTCGTCTTAATTAAAATGCTGTTACATGTTACATTTTTCATGCTGCATGAGGCATTGTATCATATCTACAGTGAACATTACAAGAAATGTACATTCGTTCTAGATTTGACAACGATTCTAGTGATTATTTCCAAAATTGCTTGTAACTTGCGACTTGTATCGTGAGCGTTTTGTTTTGGAGACTTTCTATATGTGATCTCCCCAGTGGATCTAGCTTTTCTCACTGCCTCGTTCTTCGATTTCTGCTTGTCTCGACAATACTCGACGTAGACCATCATAAACAAAATTAAATTCATAGCCGCGTAAATTATCTTTTTGTAACAGCTGTTTTAGTAATGGTTTTTTAAAACAGGCAGCGTCACAAATAGCACCTGCTATGACAGCGCCTTTTTGTTAAAATGCTGCACTTTTCTCTCTGATTCCTTATCTATCTGCTAAAGACTGCTTCTCACAGAGATAGACGTCTTCAGATACTGTTTTCATAAGTTGGTGAAACATGTCTAAAATTGGATCAAGCTGTTTTTGAAACTGTCAGAAATGACGCCTCAATTTTTAACACTGACATAAGGCCCGTTTACACGAGCAATTTTAATATGACAATTTTTAGTTGACAATGTTAATTTCACTGTGTAAACGACAAAAAAGTTGTCAAATTTTATTTAATAATTGCCTGTTTTGAAAAGCTGGCGTGCTAGCTTTTATGTGACGAATAAAAATTATAACATACAAAAAATGGGTCGTGTAGATGGCTGTCAAATAAAAACTGGCTCATATCAAGGAGCAAAGTAAATCCAAGGCTTCACATTAGTGATGGGCGATACCGCTAGTATCGATTCGATACGATACGATTACTTTTTCTTAAAAGTATCGAGGTATCGATTACTAAGGCGATTACTTTCTCCAATATTGAAAATAAAAGTGTGAGTCACTTGATAAAGATCTGATAATGGAATTGGTAAAGTGTTGCCTTATATACTTCAACAATACGACAAAAATTTTATTTTTTTTTATGTCTTAAATTACAAACTGTCATAACATTGTTAGGAGTAACGAGAAATTTTCAGAAGCTGTATAAATTCGAATTGAAAAAATTGGTTACATGCTTTTCTGAAAGATAAATAAATATTTTTGCACTTTGGAACATGATAACAGTAACGATGTATTTTTGAAAGTTATATATTATTGTTTAAAAAAGCATCATGTCAACGTTCTTTGCAATTATCCTATTTCTTTTTTTGCTTACCAGCTCTCCCGCTTTAGAGAATAGTCTCTCTTAGGGAACTGAAGTCACTGGCGCACAGAGATATTTCCTTACAATTTTTTCAAGAAGGGGGTATTGACAGGCATTTTCTTTCCACCAAATCAATGGATCGCTTTTGTGCTTATGTTTTTCTGCTTGAAATATCTTCGGCATTCTTCTTCCACTACAACATTTCCCTTGAAAAACTTCCCATGACATCAGTCATAGTTATTTTTATTGGAACTAACTTTTACATTGTCTTTTTAATTCTCCAAAAATTAACAATATAAAAGTCTAAATTGAGTGCCATTGTGAAAGTTTGGTCATTTATATCAATCATGTTTCCCCAGTCCTTAGGCAGTCCTAAATGGCTGTCATGTAGTAACAGTTATTTTAAAAACATTTACGAGAAACTAACTCCTTATTGATGATGTAATAATCCAATAATTATGAATATATGAAACTTTTACTTAGTAAAGAACTAACCATATAACATAAATGAAAACCTTACATATCTGACATCCTGTTTTTTTGCTCTAAGAGAATATTATGTTATTTAACGTATGCAAGTTATTCAACAAATCAACTCTAGCAGCATGGCACAACACTGATTAGTGTCGTATATGAAAATAACAGAAATGTTGATAAATCTTCTAATTCTAATTGCTTCTTGAAAATTTATGTTCAACTTAATTTCAACTCTCGGCCATTACAGAAACACTTTGATTCCTGGCTTTTCACATGTTACACAATAAATATACACGATTATTACATTATGTTTGTAAAAGCAGATTGTCCAGGTTGGCATAGTCCTGAGAATCAAAGACTGTTTTTGTTGTTGTTGACTGACGTTTCGACAACCTTAGCTGTAGTCATCTTCAGAGTCAAAATGGCATTTTGACTATACCAACCTGGACGATCTGCATTTACAAACATGTAACGATACTCCCGGATTCGAGCCATTCACTTTATTATTACATCACTGAGGTCTGTGGACCAATAACTGTATGACTTAGCTGAGGTATTTAGGCAGAACTCATTCGTAACTTGTTCGTTAAGGTCTGTTTGAACTAGCTGCCTTACGTTACATCTGAGTTTGATATATGATCATGTAAAATGTAAGAGTTTGATATTTTCCTCGAGAGTTTTTAGTTGTTTTTTTTAGTCGATGAAAACCAAAATTGATAAGAATCCATGACAAGAAAATCACTGTCTATCATGCATCTTTATTTCTAACTACTTTTTTAAACAAAATAAAATCGGCTAAAAGCAAAGCACCTCTCTTGTATGTACGTATTACATGGTAGTTTATCCGTCATCATATTTCATTTATAACTGTTTGAGATTCATTTACATTTTATTGACTTGCCTTTCAACCCATTTGAAGACCGAAAATCTTTATGATCAATAATTTCCATCAGCTTCTAGCCTTAAAAACACCTCGAGAAAATCGATTTATCTTTTGGAGAGCAAACATGTCTCGACATTATCAGAATGCCATCTTTCAGTGCAGAATGGTTAGTGGCACAGATACGTGATGAATAAATTATCACATGAATAGATTATGATTCAGTTGGTTGTTACAAAGGAAAAGAAAAATAAGTATTGGGTTAGTTCCATAACAAAAATATTATTATAAAAGCAATATAGCGTCAGGTGCAGTGAATCCTTGGATATTTAAACGATCAGTTTTATTAATGTAGAGCCTCGACTTTGCTTTAAGAAAGCGATTGATCAGTGCCTATTGATTTTAAAACAGAGTCAAGAGAATTGTTTCGTTATTTGTGCAGAAAGAGTGCTTCGAAGATGTTTGTAGATATTGAAGTGAGCTTTGCTGTGTGAGCATACGTTCCTCATTCCGGCAGATATTCACGAGAAGTTCACCAATGCAGTGGGAATTACGCTAACAGTACCGATGCAACCGGTCATAGATAAAAGTTCGTGGTTCGGGTTTAAATGAAAATAAAGATCTTTATTTTGTGTGTGAAAATGGTTTCGTCAATCGGCAGTAGCGTTTACCATCGTGAGCCAGTGCGTTCGTGAAAGTATGGCAGGCAGGTGTTTGAACAACGTTTGCGCATTGCATACGTTAGTGTTAGTTGCTGAAGGTCGCAGTGCTTATTTGTTGTTCAAATATATAAGTGTTGCTGATGAAATCGAAAAGGAAAGAATACTGAGAGTGAATATTGCTCTTTAAATCACATTGAAAGTCGACATCTGCAATCATTTCTCGCGCTCAACGGTCTCTTGGTCAGTCCATTTTGTAATTTAATGGCAAAAACTGTGCCAGTCAGCAGTCCTCGTATGTTGAAGTTTGCGGCAATGCAGAGGTCATGCCAGTTTACAAGTGATTTTAAGTTGGTAAGATGTCAAGAAAGGGCAACTGATTGTCTTGTTCGGCTCTCGTATGCAAGTTTATGTTTTGATGTTGTTTGTTGATGCATTCGTAAAAGAGTACGTCTTCGTTTTGTTATGAAAATTTTAAAAACGTCAAACAACGACATTCGCGGTAAAATAAAGTTGTTTGTTGTTGCCGTAGTTATTTTAACCACTGTACGTGAAATTACGAATGTTGGCTGAATACAGCCAAGTGTGCGCATCTACACATCCTGTCGGTTTGTCGTATACTTACCGTTGCTGTTCGGCCGCGATGTTAAAACAATCAGTTTCAGTTCGTTCAACCATTTCGAATGGGGTTAGCTATGTACCAAATCAAAGGTCGTTGGAGTATTCTTCGGTCAGCGGCATGTTGCATAAGCCAACGCCCGTTGAAATAAAGAATTTGTCATGCGGAAGCTGTGAAGTGCAGTTATAAAACATCGACAAAACTGAAAACAGTTCAAGCAGAATGAACAATAGTATTAGGCCGAGAGAGTCGAGGCATTCGGCTAATTGTAGAGTTACCAAGATTGAAATAATTTACAGTTCTGATAGGCGTATGCCCATGATTATTGTTTGACTTCATGAAGTTTGTGGCAAACCAGGCCGCCGCAACCTCTGTGCTGCCGGTTTCCCGAAACGATCTTCGTTGGTCAGACTTCAAGCGCCAGCCGCAGCGAAAGTCGCTGCACCTGTCACGGGAAATCGGTGACGATGATGAAAGCGGGTTTGAACTTAGACAACCGTTATTATAGCGAAAGTGAAGTAAATATTGCGGATTTGACGACCATAATGACTAATTATTGTTCTTTTGTCAGGTTTAGAAATTCATGATTTCCAGTTATTACGAATGTAGTTCCTTAATTTTATGTTAGGGGAATTTTAGAGTTGATGGTAGAAAAGCTACATGTGTATGCCAAGACCAAGTTCCGTTTTTAGTATTGAATAGTCCTCTTGTTTGATAAGTTTATTTCTTAATGAATTTATAGGTCTGATAGGAGGTATGTCATTGACTTAGCACAAAATTATCATGGAAAGGTTTCCTTGTCGGATTTTCGAAATTATGAAAAGCTTACAATTAAGAAACGCAAGGCTGAACTTGATGTCGCCTTCCTTAAAGATTGCAATTCACTTGGAGTTTTTCCAAAGTTCCTGTGTTTTCCACTACCTAATGTTGACAATCGAGATACATACCACATTCGAAAGCGTTTACTACGAACTACGATAACGAAGAGATCTAAAGAACTACGGACACTGGATAGGGACCTGACGAACAAAACAGAAGAAATCAAAAGCTTTCTTTAACCCAATTGACTGGCATATCTTGAATAAAGCTCAAAAAAGAATGTCGACAAACAACTAAACAAAATATTTTCGACACACCGTAAGAAACTAAATAATTTGACCAAAAACAAGGCTATACCATTCACTCACAAAGACACTGTCACCAACCTATCATCTGTAAAGTTGCCAAAGATGAACTTAACGCTCTAAAAAACGGTCTCAACTTCAGCATCAAACCTCCAAAAATCCACTCCTCCGACATTCTGGCAACATTCGAACGAATCCACTATTCATTAAGAAATAAACTTATCAAACAAGAGGGCTATTCAATACTAAAAACGGAACTTGGTCACTTGGCACACACGTACGTAACTTCCTACCATCCAACTCCTAAAGACCTGAAGAAACATAAAATTCTAAGGAACATTCGTAATAATGACAAAATCATTGTTCTTAAACCTGACAAAGGCAATGGTGTAGTCATTATGGATCGTCAGGTATACATTAACTCTTGCCTCACTATAATTAACAATTTATCTAAGTTCAAACCACTCGATCATGATCCTACAATTTCCCGTGAAGCAAAATTACAACGACTGCTACGTAACTTAAAGAAAAAGAACTCTATTAACGAAAAATCATTTCAAGAAATGTACCCTAGAGGTTCACAGCCAGCTCGATTATATGGTTTACCTAAACTTCATAAATTAAACAATATCAATGACATACCTCCTATCAGACCTATAAATTCTTCAATCAATTCGTATAACTAAAAATTAGCCAAATACCTCAGCTCTTTACTCCAACCCCTAATACCTAATGACCATTCTGCTAAAGATTCTTTTAGTTTTGTCGATGATTTTTTATCTTTTAACACTAACGCTCCACATGACAAATTCTTTATTTCTTTTGACGTTGAAAGCCTTTTTACCAACATACCACTGACCGAAACCATAGACATTGCTATTGATTTAATTTTTACCAATAACCCTACATTCAAAATGAACAGAACAGAACTAAAACTATTGTTTAACATCACTACGGCCGAGACTCATTTTTTATTTAACGGTAAGTACTACGACCAAATTGACGGGGTAAGTATGGGCTCACCCTTGGCACCCATTCTAGCCAACATTTTCATGGGTTTTCACGAACGAAACTGGTTAAATAACTACAGCAACAACAAACCTTTATTTTACCGCAGATACGTTGACGACATTTTTGTATTTTTCATAACAAAGACGAAGCATTACTCTTTACGAATACATCAACAAACAACATCAAAGCATAAACTTTACATACGAAACCGAACAAGACAATCAGTTACCCTTTCTTGACATCTTACTAACTAAATCACATGAAAACTGTATGACCTCTACGTACCACAAACCAACTTATACAGGACTACTGACTAACTTTTTTAGTTTCACACCATTAAATTACAAAATTGGACTGATACGAACACTGACCGACAGAGCACGGAAACTTAACAACACAGACATCGGCTTTCAACGTGATTTAAAGAAACTAATATTCACTCTCCAACGTAATTCTTTTCCTTTTCATTTCATCAACAACACTATACAACACTATTTGGACAACAAGATAAGCACTGACTCATCTAACTCCACAACTAACACTAACGATATACAACAACCTGACAATAAACGTTATTTCAAACTACCTTACATAGGTGATTACTCACGACACACACAACGCAAACTCACACAAATCATTAAACGCTACTGCACTGACATTGACGTAAAACTTATTTTCACACCTTTTAAAATAAAATCTTTATTTTCGTTTAAAGACCCACTTCCCGAACTTTCCAAATATATGGTAGTTTATCAATTTTCATGTGCGGGATGTAATTCCTGCTATATTGGTGAAACTTCTCGCCAATTATCTACCAGGATAAAGGAACATACTCACACAGACAAAAACTCCACTATCTACAAACATCTTCAAGCCTCTCCTTCATGTAAAGACAAATTCTCACCTTCCTGTTTTAAAATCATCGACACTGATCAATCCACTTTCTCACTCAAAATCAAGGAAGCTCTACACATTAATAAAACTAATCCCGATTTAAATATCCAAGTTCACCACTACAGCACTATATTTACTTTATAATAATATTTTTTGTTATAAGTTCTTAATACTTATTTTTCTTTTCCTTTTTTGTAAATATTTTATATTTAGTAACTGAATCATAATCCTATTCATTGTAATTAATTTATTCATATCACGTATCATATTACTTAACACTAACCATTCTGCACTGAAGATGGCATTCTGATAATGTCGAAACATGTTTGCTCTCAAAAAAATCGTCGTTTTTCTCAAGTGTTCTTTATGATCATCAAGTGAAGATTTGTCAGGTAAGGTTTGTGAGTCTTTAGTGGACTGGGGACTAGTAACATGAATGTTATTTTTTTAAATGGAAACATCGTCATTAATATTGTCTAGCAATAATATAAATAAAATTAATAAACATTTACGAAATGAACTCACGTGAAAATAGTTTTATAACCATCAAAGTTAGTTAAGTAAACGAGAAATATATTATTATAGTTTTAGTATATGTAGATTTCACAATGATTCACAGTTTGTTTATCATCAACGCTTCAATGTGAATAGATATGAGATATGATGGATATATATGGGTTAATGTTTTTTATAGATCAAATTTCCTCTCTAGGCCCTTGTTGGTTTGTTAGTTTACACCGATCATTTGTGCAGTTTAGGAACTTGCGTTTGATTGCTGTGGATGGCAGACGTTTGTGGCTGTTCAAAAGACATCAGGCCATGGAAAAATAATAAGTTTTATTATCGACTGAAGAAAGTAACTGGGGACAAGTAAGATGAATGTTTTGAATTTTTTTTAAATGGAAACATCTTTATTAAATATTAGCAAAAATATAAATATTTACAAAATGAATTTAAATGAAAATAGTTTTATGCAGGTATTGGTTAATGGTTATAGATAAAATTTCTCCTTCAGGCTCTTTTGTTGGTTTTGTGCACATTAGCTTGTAATTATTCAAGTATGTAATTTATAATTAAATTGGAATGAGATATAGTGAGATAAGTTGCAATTCAAGCTTCGTCTTCTTAAATTCGATACGAAGGATGGAAAAGAGTCTGCTTAAGGAGTCATATACAGTAAAACTTTTACTAAAATTATGAGAGAAAATACTTTGGATGAAATTGATAGTGGTGCAAACAAGGGTGAAGTTGAATATAACGTAAAAACAGACAAAGTTCATATTTTAGGCTTAGAAGATCATGGGTCTGTTGAAGAGAGTAATGTTGGCAATAGAAACAGGTTACAAATGTCTCGTGAAACCCTTCATAATGCTGGTGTATCAGCGAATAAAACTCGTGAAACTAAAGAGAGTCGTGTGGACGACGTGATTCGTGTTTCCCACGAGAATCGTGGATCTAACGTGGGACGAGTTGCTAATGAGTATCGTGTTGTTGAAGAATGGAAGTCTTCTTTAGAGTTTCATGAAAACAGAAAGAAGGAAGTCTATTGCTCCACTACGTACAGGGAGGTTACAGCCAATCAACTTCTCTTCCAAGGAGACAGCCGCAATGACGTCACGTAGTATGGCGTCACATGACAACCGTTCAAGAAACATGATGCCCAGTGATTCAGTGAGAAATTATACCAACATGGGTTACAGTCAATATGGCGATGATGTGTCTAGTGTTGATCATCAACAACCTGTTGTTGTTGTGAGAACATTTAATCATCCAGGAAAGTCGTACTATTGCAGGTCAGCAATTCTATTACAGGTCAGTTGTACTACCACGGGGCACTTAAACTATTATAGGTCAGTCATACTACCACAGGGCACTTAAACTATTACAGATAAGTTGTACTACCACAGACCAGTTAAACTATTACAGCTCGGTTGCAGTACAAGTCACTGACTCGAATTCAACTGCACACGCAATCCTACTCTGTTATTTATTCACCTCCAATGGCTTACTATGCTTAATTTTATCAAACACACACGTTGTCTTTCAGAGATGTATTGCTATCGCCAATTGGGGGGGCTCTTGTTCATATATGCATCCGTATAACATGCATTTTAAAAGATATTAATTCAGCATAACATGAATATATGAATAAGAGCCCCTCCATCTAGCGATAGCAATACATCCCTGTTGTCTTTTCCTTTGGTTTTTAAAGTTTCTAAAATTACCATTGCTCTTTGTAGACAAAGGAGATCATTGCCAAGAAATCACTCAAGACTGAACTACAAAAAATCTTTTCAATCTTCGACGACTCGCAGACGAAAACCCTTTACCATCTGCCTGGACAATAAACCTTCGAAATTCTCCGTCAAGACATGAAAATTATGAAGATGTTCACTCTTATTACTTACCAACTAGAAGAAAAGCCAAATATCAAGGTTCAACTCGTACACGAGATTACATGAATCACAAAATGAAAGTTTGTGAAGCTAAAAGTCATAGTTCTGGTAATAGTAAAAGATACATAGTTGAAAACCGTCCAAAACTATCCCATGCTAAAAATGCTAAAACCTCGACTTATTACAAGACCTCTGTTCGATCGCAACTCAGCTCACATTCGGATGCATCAGAAGTAGATTATGAATCGTCCCTGTTTTAAAGACCAAATTAAAAATGAAAATTTTCAAGCGAATTATTCCGACAAAAAGTGGAAAGAGAAATCACATGACCCAGAAATCATGTCCATTGTCAGTGGTAGTGAATTTTCTGAATTCTTACCCACTCCTCCACGGCCAAGTGACAGCCAATCAGATATCTCTACGGATGGATATTCCCGTGGTAGTTATAAATCATTTAAAAACAAACTTGAAAAAAACGTTAAAGAAAACAGGGAGGTTGTTGTTGAAGACAGAAGTCAATCAGATCAAGAAAACATAATGAATCATTTGAAGAAACTTTGGAGGTATTTATATGTAAAATAAAGTAAATGTATTTGATTTTTGTTTGTTTATCCTTGCACTGCTATGGGTCTATTCTATTTACTGTTTCAAGAAACTGCATATCATTGTTTTATATTGTCTACAGTCATACAACATTTTCTATTTTTTGTAAACAGGGCTTACGAAATGGTGAGACGCGTGAGAGGAATGGAAACGAAAGTAGAAAAAACGTCGGCTCATTTAATAAAGAGACGAGCAGTTCATCGTGGACTCATAATGACAGCGGTTTTGGAAAGAAACATCATGTGCCAATAAATGGTGTGCAAGTCCTACCACCCGAACCAGTTTTCATCAAGTTTGAAAGTAGCGATCAGGAGAATGAAAATTGAAGTTGAATGTTTTATTAACAAGCTTTTTTAGACTTATAAATGGTTCACTTTATGGAGGTGAATTTACGTTTGATATATGATTTGAGATAATTGACTATTTATTTTATCATTCTCTAACATACTTTATCTTTACATTTGAAGTCATGTACAAATGCTTGCCTGTAGGACATTTAAATTAAATATTGTCTAAATGAATCAATTTCCCCCCTCCCCCCCTAGAAATCATAAACATTGTTTGGAGAAAAAAATGTTGTTCCTGCTGTTGTTTTGAAATTCCTGCATTTTTAAAATAATATATGTGTATGACGACGTAAAAAACAAAACATTATTTTAATGGTTTTAATCAGACGGAAAACAGTAGAGAAGTTAAAGTTGTTGAAATACTAGTCGGAGATTGGTGAATTATCCATGTAAGTTTTTTATACTTTCTTATAGGGTGTTCTTTACACGAGTAAAGACTGCTTCTCTTCGAAAATACTAGTTTGAAATTGTAAATTCTTTCAGTAAATTGTTTCATTGAATGCTTTATAAAAATTACGTCAAACATTGAAGACAATCGTCAAGAGTGTGTTTAACCTCTACAAGTTCTATGATCATGTTTTTAAAGAAGGAAAGATTTTCTACACATCAAGGAAAAAAATTACTGCCCTTGAATTAGTGAGGCGATAACTATACAGACTATAACAATTCCACAAGATTGAATGGTTATTTTGCTGCGTTTTAAATTACAACTAAACTTTCATACATACAGAATCTTGACAGGGTTATGTTATAAGTTTTCATGATTCTTTAGCTTTTCTAGTGTGTATATTTTCTTATGTTCGTGACAATTTTATGAACTACGTGGCGGAAATAGATACGCAGGCAAATTGTATTATGAAAAGTATAGTTGTCGAGAAAACTGGTCTTGGATTTATCTCATTCAAACTTGTGGTTTACCATTTACATATAAACCCATTTTGCATTGATACTTTAAATATAGTCGTTTATGAACATTTTTATGAATAGATTATTGAAGAAACGGTTACTTGCTTGTCTTCGATTATCAGATCGTATACGGAGAGATCTCGAAATAAGATCTTATTTTGAGATCAGTGATCGTACAACTGAAAATGTCAGAATATCTTATGTCAGATACTTCTGGAAATCGGGAATTACCTGGATTTTTCAGCATTAGAATTAATATATTGCTTCATGTTTGCATTCCATTCATTGCAACTATATTAAGAAGGGCGCATTGTTCTCAGTCTTTTTTATATGTGTTAAATAGTCTTCCTATAGTCTTGGTGAACTTTTAGTGCACCACAACTTTAGTAAATATTCAAGAATATCGACGAACGATGTCATATACTTTAATGCTTGAAAAGTAAAAGTAATCAAAGTTACCGGCTTATTAACGATGCGCCATACTGAACAAACACAAAAGGGAAAATTAAAGAATGATGAGAATATTAAAATGACTTGTTCTCTCGCAGTCGGATCAATATGCCATATGAATACGATATGAATATTTTATGTTCCTATTAATTATCTTCTCTGTTATGGCAAAGAATTGTATTGCAACACAGCTTTCAACTGGTTTTACACTGTCTTAAAGCTTTTGTTTGAGCTAAATTGATTTAATCTTTATCTCTAACATCTAGCTACGTTCTTCAAAAAGTATCATTTTCCAATCCATGTAAAAACAAATCGCTTTTTATTCTACTTCTGTGATAGTAACGACATTTAAAATCATATTTATCGTTAATTGACCTTGAAGTTTTTACTAAAAATGTCGGCAAAGTTTGTGTTGGTGTTATACAATTGTAGGAAAATTTTGCCATATAAGTTGGCAAGTTTTTTGAACAAACATGGCTTATTGAAAACAAACGAAGATTAACATTTTCTAATTTACATATTTTCATGTATCGTATACTAAATTTTGTAACATTAAAATGGTACTCTTCATTTTGACATCTTTTAAGGCCAATATTTCTATTCTATCTTGAAGAAAGACGGGTTACAAGTATAATGATGTTTTAAAACTCGCTTATTTTCTAATACCTAGTTTACATTGTCTCCTGTGAACGCAAATAAACGTATGCTTGTTCATTTACAGATTTGAAAACTCAACATTTTCAGAAATGGAAAACGACGTTGAGCATACAGAAGGTAACATAAAATACCCCAATGCTCACGTATAATTATATTGGTAAATTATATTGCCGACACTTCACGACACTATTTATTCGTGTGTCATAAATAGTGACGTAATATGAACATTCTTTGGTCGATAGTCAGTAAATGATGTTCATTTCATGGAGATTGATAACATTTACTTAACTGAAGACAAAATTATTTTACAATGTACATTCATGTGCTACATTGTAATTTTGTTTTGTACCTTGCTTTTCCTTTCAATTGGTTTTACTACATGCAGTTTTCTGTTATCCCAGTTCATCTGTCTGTACAGTTCTAAATTAAGTCACACTAGTCATGAATATTTTACGCTCCATTTTTATAATTGTAGTCAAAGAACTCAGAATACGATATGACTAATTTATGTTTGTATTAATTATCTCTTCTGTTAATTTGTCATAAATTTTTCTGAAAATGAGATAATCATAAATTACTTGTTGAACCTGTCGTGTAAGAGAGAAATGACTGTTTATTTTTCAATTTCATAGGGTCTTACATTTCTATGCCGTATGTAGGTAAGTACTAAAAACAATACTTATGACAAATGTTTTGGGCAATTTTCTACATGAGTCAAACTGTCACCATAAAACGTACAAATGTGCATAATATTATTTTCATTGGGATTTTTCACATTGCAAATGGAAAGGAGACTTTGTTTTAAATAGTCACGGTAGTATAGTACGGAGTGTCATCAATATTTTTACACTCCTTGACTTATAATTGTAGTCAAAGAGCTCTAAATTGTTTTATTTCCCATTCTTACTATTACAATTCAATGCTTTCTAACGCAAAATTCTGATGTCTGAATTTCGCTGTCATTATTTAAAATCAGGTTTTTACGACAATAAAATTAGAATAATTGAATAAAGTTCATTATTTTTAAGAAAATATGTTGTCCCTAACCATATCCTTGCAATTTTTTAGCGATAAGAAAATCAACTGTTAATTAGTTAATCTTTCATTCCGTAAATATTGAAATAATATTTTCCTGGAGGTCATGAGATTTACTGATGATGAATCGTTATATATAAAGCATAAGTAACAAAAATATTTAATTTCATTGCACGAACAATAACCTCCATTGTTGTAAATGAAGATTAGTATTATGAAAACTACGAAACAAGCTATTATTGTTTCTTTAATCCAACTATAAACGACCACAATTATTAACTTTGATAATAAAACGACAAAAGTCTGCCACATTACTATAACTTCTCCATGGTAGTATATTTTATGGATATGGTTAGCCTAAAGGTGTTATCGAATAATGTGCATGTCATGAATAATTTACATGGAAACGTTGCTTCTTAAATATGTCCAATTTCAAGTCTTTACCCAAATTTTTTTTACATAATTTTATTTCTTTTGTTATATCAGTCGTATTTTGCACCGTTTCATGTTATTTATTGTAATTTTGTTTCTTTTCCTGTGAACAATGAAATACACATAGTGCATGACCAGGCCTGCATGCATGTGATCCAAAATCAATCTAGGTGTTTTTATACACTTGCATTTTTTCCTTATTAAATACCTTTAAACAAGGCAAAGCAACTACAAGTCATTATATCGTTCGACACTGTACATACATGTAATATGATCACTATATTGAAAAAAATTACTTTTTATATTCACGCAACTAAAATACGATTGGTACATTAAAGTTTTATTTTGTACTCTCTCTCAACTTGTTTACCCAGAAAAAATTCAAATACTCGAGTTTATTTTTTGCTAAGTGGTAAAAATATCACAATTTTACGTTTGCGATAACCTAAGGACAGTTTGACGATGATATTACTAAATTGGAGACCTGGTCTTATGAGATATATTAAAACTAAAGTATGCGTACTGTAACTTTAGTTGATAATGATGTGGCTGCATGTGCCGCTGTGGATTTAGCAGGAATTTAGCGTAGATTCTTTCCATCTCGGTTATGACGCACTACGTAAAGCCTAATGTGAATGTTCAATATATTGGTAGTTAGTTGTTCTTTATAGGCTGCAATTGGTGTATTCTTTGGTTGGTAAAACTCTCCTTTACTAAAGATTGCTTTTTTCCAATTTTCATTTTTTTTTAACACAGTGTTTCAATATCTTTAATACTCTTTGGCAAACCGGTTTTAAACGTTTTGTTTGTAATTTTATAATGAACATTAGAGCCCAGCTTATTGAAATTATATGAATTGTTATTGCAAAATAAGAATGTAATAAAGGATTTTATTAATTTTATTGACGTTTCATCGAAACACGCGACATCTTCAGAATATTGGTATAAAGTTGCAAAATAAAAATAAAATTAGCTACAGTATTTACAATGTAGAATAAATTAAGTAGTAATTGAGAGATTAACCAATCATAGGAGGGCTAGAAGAATGACAACCCAGCTCTTTGAAGGGAAAGAAATCGGACGGTCGGCAACAAGAACGGAACATAAAGTGAAGTGATAAGTGCGGGAAAGCAGACGAGCAGAGTTTAGTTAGTTGTGTTGGAACTTGAACAGCGTGTTTACAAGTAAAAAGCATGCTAAAATGCATGTTGTTTTCGGTAGTGTCAACGTCTGTGTTATTGGTATCAGTGTTAGATGTGGCGAAAATGCGGCTTAAAATCGGATTCCGAAACTCCTGAGATCTCCTGTAGTTTTCAAATTTACGTGTCAATGCGGAGCTTTGTATGTGGGCCAAACACGGCGATACTTTCATCCACGAATCTCAGAACATTTGGTAGTCTCGCCTTTGACGGGAAGAAATGCAAAACAACTCCGTTGTCCAGTATCTATAAAGATTGTAATGAAACAGGACATATCTCCTTTCCTGAAAATTTTCCATAATATCCTCTTCTCATTCTACTTTAAATCTCGAACCATTAGTTCGTGAAAGCTAACTTATTTCGAATCTTCAACCCTTCTTATTTTTGCAATGGTAATTCAAATTATTGCAATAAGCTGGGTTCTAATGTCTATTATAAGATTTTATTTCCCGCCTGGAAAATCTATTGTTTTTGTTTGTTCATGACGTTTGTATCAGGATAAGACAGATTGCATTGAAATTCATCCACCATTCTTCCACCTCCTCCTCCGTTTTTGATTTTAGCATTTGACTTTACCTTTCATTTGTGAATGTTGAAATAAGTTTGTTTGTTTTAAGATAATTACAGTTTTATATAACGGTGACTGTGAATTAGTCGAACTGTCAAGTGTAATATTGTTTTTATTGTTTATTTTTTCATAATGTAGAACTGACGATAATTCAAACACTTGAATGTTGGTATAATCCTTCTGTACATTACAAAATAATGAAAGTTTATGGCTATTGACATAATTGCAATAATAAGTCATACAAAGTATAAGTTTTTATTAAGCCTTTAATGACCGAGCGCGA